AGTTTACATGTCCGATTTAAGAATCAAGCAATGCAGCCAGAGCAAATAAATATGTCAACATGAAACGAGAAATTAAAATTAATAAGAAACTTTGCTTAAGTCTTACTCACCATTTAAATCCATCTTGTTTCTTGAGATTTGAAAGCTGGAACTATATAGGTCTATACTCTATAGCATGTAAATTGTAATAGATTTTTCGAATTTTGAGCAAAGCCGAAAGCTCAAAGATATAGTACAGACCCATAGTTATAGAGTCCATAGACAACGAGGCAATCGTATTCCTCACGAGCAAAGAGAATTTGTATACAGGATTTTCCATAATGAACAGGTTTCCAGACGTTTTGTTCACTAAACATTGATTAAAACCACAACTGCATGCAAAATTTTCGACCCCATGTTTTCATCCTTTGACGAGATACTGCATGGCAATGAATATATTTTCGCAATGAATTGCTAAGTGATTTGCATATTATATTTAATATATAAAAAGGATCTTTGTCCTTTGATTTCCCACGTCGAAATGTTTTTTTGTTTGTTTAAATTCAAAGGAATTCTAGCTGAGCGCTTTTGAAGCAAAATTAGGATTAGTTAAAATAAACTTATTTTATTTACCAACATAGTTGAGACTTGCTTTTTATACTTCGAATTTTGGTCGCGTTTATTGCGAAAGTTCGATAATACACACAAAAGTTGTACTTTCTATTTATTCAGTTGCTTACAATCAGTACAAAAAATCCGATAGTTTTACATTTTATATGAACACTTCAACATATAAACCTTCCAAGCGAACACTCTACTTTCCGACTCTTTACATTCTCCCTCGTGCTCTCGTATTACGTCATAGTTAAATTATATTGTTCTTACATAAAGTATGTCCCAACGAAACACAACAATCTATTACATTTTAATAGAAATTACATGACACACTCCCCACCTTGACTCAATCCGGAGTCTGATTTCTAATGGTACTAACGTTTGTAACGGTCTGTGCAATCTACTAGGTTTCCCGTCTTTGATCGTCCTTATCTTCGCTCCACGCACAACCCTATCACGACCAACCACTAACTTCTCAACAATATCGGTACGCCACTGACCACGCTCCTTACCTTCTTCGGAGACAATCACCACCTCACCTACCTTAACTGTCCTGGCATTGCTCTTGTTGCCCTTGCAATCGTGATGCTCCCGTAAATCGCACAAATACTCCCTGTGCCAACGATTCTAGAAATGTTTCAGTTTTGGACTCAAATACCGAAATCTCGCCCCAACATCTACCTCGCCCCAGTCCTCGTCATCATCATTATCAGGCCAACATGGCATTGAAATAATTCGTCTACCATACATAAGATGTGAGGGTGTCAACATCTCTCCTCCAAGTTCTTCATATTCATACTTCAACGGCCTAGAGTTGAGAGTGCCCTCAACCTCTAACAACACAGTCAACAACTCATCCATTGTCAATCTCGCATTACCGAGAACCTTCCGTAAACATCTCTTTACCCCGCCGACCATCCGCTCAAAAAACCCTTTCCACCACGGGGCACGTGCTAGATTAAACCTCCACTTTATTTTTCTACTATTTAACTCTGTACGAACCTCAGGATCGTTGTACATTTCCTCAGTGCCCTTTCAGTCGCCTTGAAGGTTTTTGCATTATCTGACACCATGAGCTCTGGTGTGTCTCTTCTAGATCTGGCCGCAAATCGCCTTAAACATCTCCGAAATACCGATGCAGAAAGATCTTCAACTAAATCCAGGTGCAATCCTCTTGTAACACAACATGTAAATAGTGCAATATATGCTTTACTTAACCCTCCATCTTTCTCCTTCACAGACAACGGAGCAGCAAAATCTGCGCCTGTTCTTGAGAATGGCTCCGCCTGATGCACTCTAAACTCTGCTAACTGTGCTATTGGTGGAGAAGAAATAACCTTAGCTTCCATTCTCTTGCAAACTTGACACTTTCCTATAACCTTCTTGACGGTCTGGCGCCCCTTTGGGACCCAGTATTTCGAACGAAGCTCCGCTAAGGTACTCTTAACTCCACTGTGATGGATCCGTTCATGACAATCTCTTATCACTAACTCAGTAAACCAGTGAGCCCTTGGTAGAATAATTGGCTCTCGGCCTTCATACGGCAATTCCGAGTTCCCTAATCGACCCTTGCACCGTAAAACGCCTTGCTCATTAACGGTTCCTAACCTTTGCACCAACTGTGGAAAGGTATCTTGATTGCGCAATTCCTCTTGCGCCGCATTAATCAGTTTACCCTCTGCTTTCACTAATTCTTCACTAGCCAGCTCGCCTTCACGTTTTTCCGTCTTATTGACTGATGCTCTGATGTTAGTTATAAAACTTATAACCCAAGCACTTACCTTCAACAGCCTTGACAACTGACTGAATCTTTTAACATCCACAATTCCCGTAATTCCCCGTTGAGGTAGAACATTGACAGACATACATGTAACCTTTGACATTTTCTCCTTTTCTTTACTCTCTTGTGTCCTCGACACATCGAATCTTGGCCATTCTTCTTCAGACTTACCTAACCATTGTGGACCATTCCACCACTTATCACATTCCTTCAACTCCAAGGCCTTGCATCCCCGTGAACCTATGTCAGCCGGGTTGTCAAGTCCCGGACAATGCCTCCAAACCATACCCTTAGTTAATCGCAAAATTTCATCAACACGATGCTTAACAAATTGTTTCCATTCCCCCTTATTCTGAAGCCAATACAGAACTGTAATACCGTCTGTCCACAACACTACTCGCTCAAGAACTTTTTCGCTACACATTGCTCTCTTAACGGAATCAACCAATCGCGCCAGTAACCAAGTTCAGATTAGTTCTAATCGTGGTATGCTTATTTTTTTGAGAGGAGCAACCCTAGATTTACTTGCCAGTATACTTATCTCTGTGCCTACACTGGTCTTATACACAAGATAAACAACAGCACTATATACAGCCTTGCTTGCATCTGAGAACCCATGGAGATGCCAATGACCGTCCAACTCACGTCCACTTACTTTGACACATCTATTTATGCAAATTTCTCCAGCCTTACCCATTTGTCCAAAACAACTGTTCCATTTTTGTTTTCAGATACCGTGAAATTCGTCATCCTAACACAAGCCGGTAACACACAACTCTTGAAAGAGTATCTTTAATTCAACCAGTATTGGACTAATCAGGCCTAAAGGGCCAAATATACCTGCAAGTAGACGAAGTACATTTCGCCTAGTTGCCACCCATTCAACTGCCATTTGTACCACATCAAAGCTAAATTTAATCACGTCCATATCATTATCCCATGCAAGTCCTAATACCTTATGCTCACCAGATTTACTTGTAGCACCTAAAGTAGATTTGGCATAACTTATTTGATCAGATTCCCCTTCTACGCTGTCTATGCCTTCCTTCATCTCTATTCTTTTTAACAAGATCTTATCGTTACTTAACCCACCACTAGCTAACCCATCCTTTGCCTTCTCGTACAGCGTATATGCCTTGTCTGTTGTGCATTCACCGGATAAAACGACTCAAGCATTTTCCTAACAAACGGTTCGTCTATAACTTTATACTTGAAGAAATGATGTCTCAATGTCGCGTTGAGTAGGAATGGTGAAGTATTAAGTCCAAACACTGCACGACAAAACCCGTACACAATCCTGTGCCGCCTGACAAGATAGAGGTTAGGTAAAAGTTAGGTAAACCAAGAAACATTGTTTCCAAGCTATGTTGCCCGAAGATGGGCAAACCAGGAAACTTTGTTTCCTACCTATGTTCCCTGAAGGTGAGCAAACCATGACACATTGTTTCTCAGCCATGTTTTTCGAAGGTGCATGAGCAAACCAGGAAACATTGTTTTCCAGCCATGCTTCCCAAAGGTGGGTAGACCAAGAAGCATTGTTTCCTAGCCATGTTTCCCGAAGCTGAAAAAATCAGGAAACGTTGTTTCCTAGGTCAGGAAACAATGTTTGCTATATTTTATACAGCCTTCTTTTCAAAAGTGTCAAACAAGAAACAATTGTTTCTGCTAGAAAAATCCCATGTAGAAACAAAATATGTTTCTGAATTTATTAGGAAACATGCTTGCTTCGTGAGAACTGTTTCTAAGCCTGGACCGAAATAGCGAAACACTCATTCAAGAAACCTTCAAGATTTTCAAATGTTTCTTAGTTTGCCTATAGGCTAATAATAAATATCAATGCCCAGCATAATGTCTGTATATTAATAGCCATAACAGAGAGAAATTTTCATAATTTTACTTATTTACAGAACTTTGTTTAATTATTTCGTCTTGCACTTAAAACATCTTCGGAGTAAAGAATGATTACAAAATTACAAAGTTAATATATATGCATGACTAAATTACAACTAATTACAGAGTATAGAATTACAAGTATAATCTAAGGAAGAAAGGGAGCGTTTTGCCTAAAGGCGCCTATTGCCTCTTTAAACATAGGCCGGTATACCCAGAAGCGAAACAAATGAAAACTTAATTAGTTTGTAATACCCATTGCAAAAACAGTAAAATTCCATGTATTGGTCTCCGTTACATTTCGTTTTAAGTGGGACACCTTGTTCTATGCCCACAATAGTGCACGAAGCATGCAAAGTTTGCATAACTTTTTAGAACCACGACAAATTATAGCTCACACTAGGTATAAGCGTGTCCGGCTCGGAAAAAACTACATTCACGGAAATATTTTTGTATATCTTAACATAAAAATATTAAAAAGGATTACCTGCAACTGGCTCTCGCTCCTAAATTACAGCAGCGCGCATTTTCTGAATTTCTCTCTTCATTTGCACCTGAATATGTTAAAATATTCTCGAATTAAGTAATTAAGAAATAGAAAACGAGTCGCGTTCAACCGGAGGCGAAAGAAATGACAATTTTAACTATAGCCAAGATGGCAATACACTGATTTGTCTATTTTGCTCAATTTTTGCAGATCACGTTTTTCTTAAAATTTAGTGGCTATAAGTGGATCCTACACTTTCCTTCGACGGTCACCGCAAGGATGTGTTTCTTTGTATATCACAGGAAGGTTCACCCAAGCTTGCGCAGTTTCAGAGTCGTTGGCTTTCAAGGACCAAGTGTAGAGGAGAGGTTTGAGTCTGCGTGTTGTGGAGGTCGTAAAAGATTTCTTGTAGTTGAGCTTTGAGTAGTTTCTTGGTAAGGATTTTGCTTGTCTGTTTAAAGTCAAGAAATATTGAAGGACAGTGGCACAAATCTTAATGCTGTGGTCGGTAAGTTATTTTAAAATCGTGTAACATTTAGGACAAGTCGTCAAGAGCAAGCGTCTTCAGATCTGAGTTCGTGGGTTCGATTCTCGTTATACGGATTCATGCATGTGAAAAGAGTCAGTCAACGCTTTGCCGAAAGTCGTGGGTTTTCTACGGTTGCTCCGGTTTCTTCCAAAATAAAAAGTTGGCAAGATGGGTTAGGATAAACACAGCAACATCACAATTGTTGTAAAGATAAAATGGTCTAGGCGTGTATCCACATGTGAATTTGTGCTAAAGAAATATTAATCTTAATCATGTAGTTAGGGTGGGAGTTAAGAGGGAATCGGAGTACACGGAGAAAACCCACGACTTTCGGTAGAGCGTTGACTGAATCACAAAAGTGTCACATGCCCGCAGCAAGAATCGAGCCACCGATCATAGAAGTGAAAGGCTTCAAAGGCGCATGCTCTAACAATTGTGGCGCATCGTAAGTATATAGGTATGGCAATGATAAAACGTTTCACCAGAAATAAAATTTAATTAAGAAAGTCATTCAAATTAAGACAACATACAATAATTACCTTTCAATTAGCGTATCAAAACAGGCAGACACACTTTCATTCACTGCTACTTTCAAATAAATATACATTATGACAACACAATACAAAAGAACTCACTTCAAACTGGTATTAAGTCCAGGATTAACAAAAGCCCTTATCACAGCAACTGGTTGTTGAAACTGAACGTTTGACATCAAATCACCATTTTGACCAGCTTGACTGTATCCAAGATTTGTATAGCTTTTCACAGCACCTTGTGACGTCACATTCTTTGACGTCGTCGCTGATGTCATTGCAAGTTTCTCTGGGAACCACTTCAATTGGCTGTAGGCTCTTTGCATAGGAGCGGCTTCTAATCTAACGTAATCACACTTGCTCTCGCCCAGACGTTTAACTTCAGTTTCCCTCGATTCATAGGTCTCCGAAAAACTTTTAAATTCCTTGCTCACGTGACTAGTCGTTGGCCTTAAAATTTCGCTTGACATTTGATAGTCATTAAATTTTTGAACGCCTAAGATTTCGTCACTGCTATTTTTAGCACTACTTTCAGTCACCTTTTCTTCCACAAAACCTTTATTGTCGCCCACACCAAGTATCATGGCTTCCTCCGTTTTCAATTCGCATTATATCCAACCTTGGTCAGTTGGAATGGTTTTTCACTGCCGTCAGTTTCATCCATAATTTTCGACTCGCCACTAGACGCGTCATAACGAACTTTTCGTTTTCCATAATCCGTCTCATCTTTTCTTTCCCACTCGAAACATTGGTGTCTAAATGAACGGGGCAAGCAGATTAAAGAATGGTGGAATGGAAGAGGTGTGTTGCACAATTTTTTGAGCGGATATAAACATTGAAAAAACTGATCCTAATAAATTAAACAGCCATAAGATGATGCGAAGATCGACATCTGAATCAGTTAGTTTTGACTATTTTAATTAGGACAGATCCAACAATAAAGTTTGACATCTCTTATCAGGAAATTTGACTTTCAATCAAGTTGGAATTCAACCGCCAAACTTTACATGAACTGGTCCTAATTTCAAAAAATTAAATTCATGTGAAGATTAAAATCTGAATCAGTTCCAACTATTTTAATTTGGATCGATCCAACAATAAAGTTCGACATTTAGCTCTTGTCGGGAATATACACTAGTGCAGCCCACTGGGTTCATGAAAAGTTTGATGTTTGAATCCAACTTGATCGAAAGTCTAAAATAAACCCATGGCGGCACCAGTGTAGTGAGGGGGGCGTATCCTCTCCATGGGGCGTCACTGCGTAAACCAGTGATATTTATATATGCCATTAGACAACCGCTGATCATATTGTACCGTTTTTCAAAAAGTTACTAGGATGTTCAGTCTGGTTAAACCTCAGTTAAACGAGAATGAGAGTTGAGTAATTTGCATGAAAGTTTTCTCAACTCTCATGTTCGGGTCAAACGAGTTGCGAGAGAGTTGTTTGGATATTACAGCACATACATAGAGTAACTCTTGTCAACTCTCATTAAAATTTGAGCCAGCTCAAAATTTACAAGATTGCATGAGAGTCGATGAGAGTTGGCAGTCAAACGCGAGAGAGAGTTGCAACTCCTATCCACTCTCGATCATATCGTTTGTCCAAGCGCTTAAGGATGACTTCTATGTGGTGAGTAAAGTTAGATTTAGGTCATCTGCAGGTCGACTCAAATAGCAAAAAAAGATCATTTTATGTGAAGTTCAGTGTTTGAACTGAACCTGTTATTTGATACATATAATCATATTTTTTGTCCAGCGTATATGTCGCTTTCTGAAGCTTTACTTCTTGCCACAAATTAAATCACTTTTACCACGATTTGCATTCATTGTCGTTGAATAAAACCCACTTTCAAATATATCAAATTCGTCCAAACTGTACTACACGTTGTAATAAACCAATTATTTTACAAAATGTAGCAGCTTTAAAATTAATCATAAGACACTTAAGACCTCTCTCGGCCATTTATGCATTGATATATTTGTACAAGAAATTCATCCATGTCCTTCGCATGATAAAAAATAATACTTTTTTAAAGTTTATGTCAATTTGTTTATATCTGAAATGGTTCAGCCTTTGTTGACTGTCAAAATCATTCGACAATCGACATCATTCAAAATTACATTTATGGTGTTTCCAGTTGTGCACACGCGAAAATCTCACACTTGCAGCAAGTCTGCCAACAATTCAATAAGTCGTTAACAAGTTGTATTCGCACTGGTTGTCGCAAGTTGTGAACAAGTATGGAACAACTGTTAACAACTTGTAACAAATCAGATTTGTTGCAAGGTTTTTCCAACAAATCCGATACAGTCATGATATAACAATATTGCAATTATTTGTTACGATCGACCTTGTGTCGTCACCCTCGTAACATTCTTGTTATATCATGACTGTATCAGACTTGTTAGAACAATCTTGTAACAAGTCTGATAATTAATACCATCAAGCTTGTTGCAAACTTCTTACAACACTGGGGACAAGCAGTGCAAATACAATACCGCGCAAAAAATCTTGCGTCTTGTAGCAAGTCTACCATCAAGGCTCAGTGGTCAAGAACATCAACAACCTCCTCCAGGGTCTTTCCTCATGTGGAGAGCGTCTACCTGGGTCTTTCTCCCTCGCTAAGAGGAAAGACCCTGGGTACGAGGTTGGGTCATCAAGCTCAGACGTGCGTAGGAAGCATCAAAAGATTGGGGGGGGGGGG